TTTTCTTTTCTCTTTCTTTACGGAAATTTTCTAAATTAGTAATTTCGTCTTTTTTTGTTTCTAAATCTGAAGTTGCTCTTTCTAAGTTGATTGTGGTATTGCTTAATTCAGTTTGAAGTTCTCGTTCTTTCGTTTCTAATGCCGTTATTTTTTCTTGGAGTTCTTGAACAGTATTTCGTAAATTTTCTAGGTTTTGGTTGTTCTCCTCAATCATAATTGATTTTTGGCTGATTACGCCTCTTTGTAATTCGTTGGTGTTGGCTAATTCTTGGGCTTTCGTGCGTCATTTGTGTAAATCTAAATCCTTGGGGTCAGGTAATAAGGTTTGGTTATTAATTCGTTCGGCAGTTTCGGCGGCTATGCGTTCGTATTCTTGGCACTTTTTCGCTACTTGGTTGTAATTGTTGGTGATTATCTGTTTTTCGCTTATCAGGTTGTTAATTTGCTTTTCTAGTTCGGATTTTTCTCGGGTTAAAGTTTCTTTTTGTTTCTTTATTTGATCTAGTTCGTTTCTTGTGTTAGTCAAGCTTTTGTCTCAATTATTTTTTTCTTTTTCGTATTGACTTTGATATTCCTGTGCTTTCTGTTTTAGCGTATTTTCTCCGTCTGTTTTGAGTGTGTTTATTTCTCGTTCTCGGTCCTCTAATTTTTTGTTCTGTGCCTCTAACGCATGAGTGCTGGCTTTTATTAGGTTCTCATATTTTTCCTTAACTCTTATTAGTTTATTCCTTGCCTCGATTTGAAATTTATTGGCTTCTTGGGCTATGTTATCAGCAATTTGGTTTACTTCTTTCTCTGTATACCTCTCTTGTAGTTTTTTATTTGCGTCTGATAATTCATTTATGAGGAGAGTACTCGAACCTCCGCCAGCAATTGGAACAAAAGAATAAATAGAAAACCCGACAGTTCTTGCTGTTTGATGCGTTCCTTTATTTTCTCGCTGTCCTATAATTTCTTTCTTTTTTTTCTCGTAATCTGCTATTAATCCTTGTTCGCCTTTTTCTCCTGTTTTTATTAGGGTGTTAAGGTCAGTCAAGATTTCGTTATTAACAGCATTAATTATTTCTTTTCCTTTAGTTTCCAGGTTAGTAATTAAATGGTTTTTTAATTTCTTTCGGTCAACTTTCTCCTGGCTGTAAAATCCAGCTTTTATTTTTAATTCTTCTTCTCATTCTTCGCTATATTTTTCGTAACATTCATAATCTTCATAATATGTTGTTTGGTTTTGGCTGCTGGTGCTTGGATTTGTATTTAGGTTTTGGTTGGATTTTTTTCGTATCATAATATTATTATTTTAATAGTTTGGTTGTTTGGTTGAATGAATTAATAACCTTTCTCTTTTAATTATCACGTTTTTCTCTCTCGTTTGGTTAAAAACCCAACGTAAAATACAAACCATATGGCTAGAAACACAAAAGAAAGGATTATTAGAGGTTCACGGCGTAGCCCTCGGGTTGTTTACTTTGCTACCAAAGTAACGCCTGAATTTGACGCTTTACTACGCCAAGAAGCCCACAAAGAAGGTTACTCGTTAGCCGAAATGTTGGAGAAATACCAAGAGGCCTATGAAGAGAGAAAGGGAAGCAAAAAGCAAAAGCTAGAAAAAGCAGCAGAAAAATAAAAACTAAAAGTCGTGAGACTTCGGAATTGCTTCCGAACTAATTAGGATTTCAACATTC